ACTCGTTGTGCCGTCTTTAAGACGTATAAAATTAAAGTCCTAAAGATTTTCATTTTAGGTCAGCTAAAGGCGTTCTTAGAAAATTAAAAAAAAGTCTTAAGGAATCCTTGAAAAGACGTCTGGTAAAGACGTCTACATGAGTTATATTTAGGCCTGCTAATCACATATTTTCGTACCTGAAATAAAAAAACATAAATTTCTATAGGCTTTTTGTTAGTGAATATTTTTCTTTTTTAGATATAACTTTATTAGTTAAATTTAAAAGTTTTGATTTTGAATATACTAAATGTTTGTGAACTTGTATATGTGCGCCAAAAGAGTTTGAAAATATTGGTATAGGATTCGCACCTATGCTTATTGCATACATGCCAATGCTTTGTACTTATGCCAATTTCCACTTATGTCTTTTCGCACTTATTATACCATTGCCAATTTTTTCAACGGCTTCAAACTTATGCTAGTTCGCACTTATAAAATTCGCAATTATTCAGCTTCCCGATAAATAATTTGATAAGTTTAATAACAAGATAACTGTCACAATATTCGACTGCCGAATATTCGGTGTTTCGGCCGAGCGCTTACCCGAATATTCTGCATTCGGTATTTGTCAAAATCACTATTCGTCACATCTCTATTTTTTTTTTGTCTTTTTTTTTTGTTGATTAATTTTTTTTAGATTTCAAGTTGAAAGCTAACACAATTTTATTGTTATTTATGTGCCCAAGAAGACCTAACGGTCTTGTCACAGAGCACCGCAGAAGTGCATTAAACCAGCAAGTTTAGGCCTCCTTCCATATCGTGACGCGAAAATATGTCCAAGGCTCGTTACAAACCTGGATCACCTGCTTTTAAAGCAAGCGCTCTAACCACTACTCCACGGCCGCACATTGTTGTGTCGAGGGGAAGGGAAAGGTGTCTAAAATGGTCAAAAATTGCGTGTCATATTTGTGGTCGACCCCTTACGTGTTTTATACGGTATTGCTCTTACTGTGTGCATTTGTTAACTTTTGACTGCGAAAATTGTTGTATTTAGATTGAGATTTAGATATTGAGTTGTTTATCTACTTAATCACTTCATAACCTTTTTTTTATTTTATATTGAAAAACCATGCTTTTCTTTAAAGCTGGTACTAAATTAGTATCTCTTCATTGTATTTTTTCAAACCTTATGATATTTTGATTCAAATCAGAACCGCAATTTTAAGAAGTGGTTTAACAAAAGTACTAGATAGCTTTCTTACAATACAAAACATTTAAATACCCGTTTAATGAGTGAGCACTTGATTTAATTTTCCTCTTTATAAATTTGATATTTAAAATTAGATTGCATCATCACTCCTAAACCACATTCTACTATTGATATTGCTAAGATATTATCTTAATATTAAATTATATTAATTATAACCATACCGATGACCATTTCAAAGTATAATCAGTAGTTAAGAGTATTTTATTTATACTTATATTTTCACCTGACTTAATAATCTTTATAATTTTTTTATTTTCAGCATTTAGTTTAACATAAATTTCTTTGGTATCTGGTAAATCATTGCCCCTTCCCCCCTACTTATTTTTTTAAGGATTTTTCTAAAAGAAATTTCTAGATATAGAAGATTGTTTTAGAAATTGACGATTGTGCCCCTCCACTTTGAAACTCGTGTCGTCAACCCTGTTGAAATTACCATTATTATATTTTTGTTGTTGTTGTCTTATCAATATTATTTAAAATAATAGTGATATTGGTTCTTTAGTAGTAATAGCTTTATTATTACCGGATTCGCCGCAAACAGACGTGTTTAATTTTTGATGTTCTACAAAAATTTTTTTAAAATGGCAAATTTTTATCTGTACAATTAAAATACATATTGAAAGTTGCTGAAAATATTCTTATGAAAATGAAGTATGAAGAATTGATAAACTTAAGTTCTTATGAAAATGAAGTATGAAGAATTGATAAACTTAAATTCTTATGAAAATGAAGTATGAAGAATTGATAAACTTAAATTCTTATGAAAATGAAGTATGAAGAATTGATAAACTTAAATTCTTATGAAGTTGAAGTATGAAGAATTGATAAACTTAAATTCTTATGAAAATGAAGTATGAAGAATTGATAAACTTAAGTTCTTATGAAAATGAAGTATGAAGAATTGATAAACTTAAATTCTTATGAAAATGAAGTATGAAGAATTGATAAACTTAAGTTCTTATGAAAATGAAGTATGAAGAATTGATAAACTTAAATTCTTATGAAAATGAAGTATGAAGAATTGATAAACTTAAATTCTTATGAAAATGAAGTATGAAGAATTGATAAACTTAAATTCTTATGAAAATGAAGTATGAAGAATTGATAAACTTAAATTCTTATGAAAATGAAGTATGAAGAATTGATAAACTTAAATTCTTATGAAAATGAAGTATGAAGAATTGATAAACTTAAATTCTTATGAAAATGAAGTATGAAGAATTGATAAACTTAAATTCTTATGAAGTTGAAGTATGAAGAATTGATAAACTTAAATTCTTATGAAAATGAAGTATGAAGAATTGATAAACTTAAATTCTTATGAAAATGAAGTATGAAGAATTGATAAACTTAAATTCTTATGAAGTTGAAGTATGAAGAATTGATAAACTTAAATTCTTATGAAAATGAAGTATGAAGAATTGATAAACTTAAATTCTTATGAAAATGAAGTATGAAGAATTGATAAACTTAAATTCTTATGAAAATGAAGTATGAAGAATTGATAAACTTAAATTCTTATGAAAATGAAGTATGAAGAATTGATAAACTTAAATTCTTATGAAGTTGAAGTATGAAGAATTGATAAACTTAAATTCTTATGAAAATGAAGTATGAAGAATTGATAAACTTAAATTCTTATGAAAATGAAGTATGAAGAATTGATAAACTTAAATTCTTATGAAAATGAAGTATGAAGAATTGATAAACTTAAATTCTTATGAAAATGAAGTATGAAGAATTGATAAACTTAAATTCTTATGAAAATGAAGTATGAAGAATTGATAAACTTAAATTCTTATGAAAATGAAGTATGAAGAATTGATAAACTTAAATTCTTATGAAAATGAAGTATGAAGAATTGATAAACTTAAATTCTTATGAAGTTGAAGTATGAAGAATTGATAAACTTAAATTCTTATGAAAATGAAGTATGAAGAATTGATAAACTTAAATTCTTATGAAAATGAAGTATGAAGAATTGATAAACTTAAATTCTTATGAAGTTGAAGTATGAAGAATTGATAAACTTAAATTCTTATGAAAATGAAGTATGAAGAATTGATAAACTTAAATTCTTATGAAAATGAAGTATGAAGAATTGATAAACTTAAATTCTTATGAAGTTGAAGTATGAAGAATTGATAAACTTAAATTCTTATGAAAATGAAGTATGAAGAATTGATACACTTAGATTTAAAAAAAAATACAGTAATTGACCAGAACAAGGCATTAAAACGGAACCAGGCGAACTTACAAAAACTGATAAAATAATTGCTGATCATCGAAGACATAAAACATCGAACATTATAAAGTTCGATTTTTAGGTGCTCGATGATTTTTATTATAATGGAAATAAAAAAACTGATGAGTAACGCATTTGCCAAAATTGAAGATAGAAGTCGACACAATAATTTGCAATTCTGTAGGATCGAGGAAGACAAAAACAAAAATTGCGAAGCAAGTGAAAAGAAAGTACGGGAATTTTTATGTAATCAACTTTAGTTAGAAGGAAACTTTGAAATTGAACAAGCCCATCGAGTTGGAAAGAAGTTACAGCATGATAATAAGAGATCAGATACATCGTCGTCAGATTTAATAATTATTTAGACAAAACTACAATTGAAATACGTTATAATGAAACTATTAACCGAAAAGATTTAAATAAACAACACTCTAAAAACAGTCCGTTAAAAAAAGTAACGGATTGCTCTTTTTCGTTAAATTAACGGATTAATTCGTTACCAAAAACCAGAAAATTAACGGAGTAAAATTAGCTATTTACGGATTCTTTAAAATTTCGTTAATTCAACGGATTAAATATTCTAATCGGTCAAAAAAAAAATTTCAGTAGAGGAAAGGCGCCTATGATGGCATAGCGCCTATGATGGCATAGCGCCTATGATGGCATACCGGTCATATTTCCACAAAAATTGCTTTTGGTGAAAAAGTGATTAGACCTACATGACTATACTGGCTTGACATTAGCTTTAGTAAAAATATGTCCCTTGTACACAAATTTTGTTTTTATAATCAACAAAAATCAATTTTCGGATGTGCTGTAGTAGTTTTTTTCCCTTCATATATTTAAAATTGTGATTCTATCATTAATTGTGCAGAAAGGGAATTTTCATGCATTTTATATCTAAGTTTTGTGCATTTAGAGGAATACTTACTTTAATTTTTTCTTTTAAATAAGGCAGACACGACTTGTTTTAATGAAAATGATAACTTCTTCCCATGATGGCATACTGACGAGTTGGGCGTGTTGCAATATTGACGAGTTGGGAAACCTTTTTTTATACATAAGAAAAACTTAATTTTAAGTAAAGTAAAAAGAAAGTGATGCTCCAAAAGATTTTTTTTTGGTCCAAAAAATACCTAATATATCCAATGCGCATGCACGAAACTTCACTATGCTGCTGTGTAGCATGAAATGGTAAATTCCGAGTAATTTCTGGTTTTTCTGAGGGAAGACTCTAAGGTTAAATGAAATTATCATAAGACCCTTGATCCTAAGCAGCCCTATCCTCACCTATGCCATCATAGGAGCAGTGGTTGCCTATGATGGCATACTTGTGCTTTTTTAAAAAAATAGGAATAACTTATAAAAAAAACATAACTGATAAAAACTCCGAGCGTTATTATTGTTCTACATGTAACAAGGAATGTATCTACATCAAAACTTTTATTATTGGTCTTCATAAAACTGAATAATGAAGCTTCAAAGTTAAGTATGCCATCATAGGCGCCTTTCCCCTATATTATAGCTTTTTGTTTTGAAAATGATAAAGTTTTGAATGCGTTTTTCTCACATTTACATTTACATCGTAGATAAAAGTTGGTTGCAGTAAGTGTAATATGCTATTTTTTAAAAAGCTTTACGCTCTGTTATTTGTAATTTCGAAGGTTATTTAGATTATTTTAAATTTTCTATATAAAGCTTTATATAGAAAATTTAACAATAAGGTTTATTTTGTTTTAAATTAAAAGCCATTAGTATTACTAAATAATATATAATAACATATATGGTAAGTTAATACATATCATATATGGTAAGTTACTACATGTCTAAATCTAGAAAACTATGCAAGAATATATGCAATTCATATAGTCTATATTATAGAAATAAAAGTTCAACTAATCCTTTACTAGTAGTAAAGGGTTAGTTGAACAATTATTTTTATAATATAGACTAAATGGATTATTTATAGTCTTTTTTAACTTTATATTTTAGACAAACGACATGTAGTAACATACCATATTAGTTTAAATCAGTTGTAAAATTAAAAATGTTAAAATCTTTGATAGGTATATTTATTTAGGTTAGTTACAGCTAAGTTTACATGGCTAGTTAATATGCTTTTATAAATTGCAATTTTATTAATTTCCAAATTAAACATGTGGCATCCAATATCATAAACTAAGTTTATACTGGTGTGTTTATATTATTTTAGAATTTTTTATTTTAGACACATGGCATTTGTTATCCCACTGTAAGTTAAAACTAGTTGTAAAATTAAAAAATTTATATTGGAACTTCTATTTCTTTTAACATTCATGTTTATTTAATTGAGTTACAACTTAGGTTATATATGAGTTATTTAAACTATCTTAGAATTTGCTGCTTTAGAGGCACGGCATTTAGTGCCACATTGTAGGTTTAAATTGGTTGTAGAATTTATATTGTAATTTGCATATTTATTTAGTTGAGTTTAATCTAAGTTTATATTTGATGTATTTGTATTATTTTAGAATTTACTGTTTTAGACACGTGACATGTGGTATTCCACTGTAAGTTTGAATTAGTAAATTTAAAAAAAATTATATTTTAACTTGCATTTCTTTTGACGTTCATGTTTATATAATTAGATTACAACTAAGTTTGTGTATGGCTTGTTTATATTATTTCAGAATTTGCTATTTTAGACACTTGGTATAAGCTGTCATACTGTAAGTTTAAATTGGTTGTAAAATTTATATTGTAACTTGCATTTCTATTAGCGTGCATATTTATTTAGTTGAGTTTCAACTCACGGTAGTTTAAATATTAGGAAAAGGCGCTATGTTTAGCTACGCATGCGTCAATATCTTGAAAAATTTTTTAGAACTTTAAAAATGGCTGCGGTCCTTAACTACAGCGAACACTTTAATTGTCATTCGTTTTGTTTTAGGTTTATTGATCGAATCTAACAATTTGTATCTTATAATTGAAGTAGCTAAGTAGATAAATAACTTAGTTTCTTAATTGAAAAATTTAAATAAGATGAAAAAGATCTTTGAGTGTGTTAAACCTTCAATTTCTGTGAAAGTTATTTTAGTATAAATCAGTAATTTGTTTATTTTTTTAAAAATTGATTATCTTAATTTCTAACCGTAGAAATTAAAAGATTTTTTTTTTAAACTTGTAAGCGATAAGATTGAAATTTGTATCCTCTATTCATGGTAGCCTTTTGGTTGTTGCTTCAACTTTTTTTCGGTATAAAAACATAATTTTGCTCGTATTACTATAAGATAATATAATAACGTGTGTTTGTCTTGTTCATAATCATGTTATATCATTAAAAAAAGATTTTTTATTTCTTATATCAGCGTATAGTCATAGGAGAAGAAACATATTTTTATATAAAAATAGTTATAGCAACAACTATAAACTACCATAAATAGTGGAAATGTAGTAATATCTTATATATACAACTACATCCTAATCAAATTGAATTATAAAAAAAATCAAAAAAGTATAATACACCTATTCATAGTTTAAAATACTGCAAAATTCATCCTCTATTTATACTTATAATAACTTTGTTTTTCTTATTAGTTTAAATATTTTAAAGAATGCTTTTAAATGGAGTTGCATAACACAAATTTAAATTACCTGGGTCGAATATGTGCAAAATGGGTAGGGAAAAGACAACATGATGTTACAGATAGTATTAAAATCATAATCGAGCGAGTATTTCATGTTAAACTGGAAGAAGTAAAAAATGTCCATCCACAAAAAATTTGCCATAAATGTTGTTGCTCAATTAATAATTTGAACAAAAGAAAAACAACAACATCACTCTCTGTATTTAATAAGTGGTAATCACATAACATCAACTGTGCAATATGTCAGAGAGCTTAATATGAAAAAATATAAACATTTCTACGCGCTACGGTTTAAAAAATGCAAAACGTTTTAAAAAAACTAAATTACCAGGTAAATATAGAAAATGTTGGACAATTGCTATGTTTACTTCAATTAAAGAAAACCTTATACCTATATTCAAATTTGACGAAGATGTAGATATATCAGAACTAAAAAATGACTTATAGATACTAAAAATTTATAGAAACAAGAGTTAAAGGCTCTGGAAAAGAAATCAATGTTTCAAAAAAGTGAGGGACTATGCACCCAACAGATAGAGGTGGTTTTACAAAAACCTAATGTTCAGAGACAAGCATATCATGAGAAAAGCTTTGTTGGAAATCATGTACATAAAATGCTCAAGGTATGTAGGTATTTATTTTATGTCTAGTATAATAAAAGCAATAAGAGTGTAATTTGAGTTTATAACATTATATGAATTATTTGTTTATTTATAGGAAAAATCAATATTAGAGCTATGTAATTCTATTCCTATACTTATTCATAAAAATGGATTTTCTGGAACAACGCTTCATGAAAAATCGATTGAAGTTAGCAACAAATTTAAACAGCTTTTCTCTAAGTTTTCTAAATATTATCACATATTCTCCTCAAAAAAAATAAATCCAGGTGAATTAACACAACTACGTAACATTAACATTTTAATTTTCTCAGCTAAAAAGATTTTACAAATAGTAACAAAAAGTATGTATAGTATAGTTGTAGTGTTCAGGTTAACTTTATTTTAGTTTCAGAGTTAATATTTAATTTTTTTTTTTTGTTAATATTTAAGTTTATTTATATTTTAACTTTCAAGTTATTTCAAGCTCTGTTTATAATAATTTTTTTTATCTTTAGAAACATATATATCCGATTTAATAAAGTTTTATCGTGACAATTGGCCAGAGGCCTCAGTGACGCCTAAGTTGCACATGATGGAAGATCACGCTATTCCATTTTTGCAAAAATGGGGTGGTGGGTTTGGATTGTATGGTGAACAAGGAGGTGAATCTATTCATCATGAATTTAATAAATTAAATATGGTATATCAATCTATTCCTTGTAGGAAAAAAAGATTAAAATGTATACTCAAATCTCATCATCAAAAAACTAACTGTAAAAACAGAATTTTGAGACCAGAAATCAAAAAAAGAAAAAAGAAATAAACTTTATTTAATACCAAACATGTAATATAAAATATTTAGTATCGTAAATAAAAACAAAAAAGAAAATGTAAATAGTTATAAAAAAGAAATATTTATTTTATATTTAGAAAAAATTATATTGGAAAAAAATTCAAGATATATATTTGAGACCTAAAATTTATTGTATATTTGCAGACCTAAAATATATTGTATATTTGCAGCTCTAAAAAGAATAAATTAAAAATATATATATAGTTTTTGTTATATAGAGTTTTAATAAAATTAATTTATAATATATATATATATATAATATATATATATATATATATATATATATATATATATATATATATATATATATATATATATATATATATATATATATATATATATATATATATATATATATATATATATATATATATATATATATATATATATATACACACATATATATATATATATATATATATATATATATATATATATATATATATATATATATATATAATTAAAATATACACTTTATTTTAGGACATATTTAGACAACAATTTTAGACAGTTAAACTGTTTAAAAGTTGAGTTTAATTTACTGAACTTTTAATTTATATAAGAGTATATTTTGACTCTATGTATACTTTTATATGGAAAAAAAGTTGAAGCAATAACCAATAAAAGTTAATAATGAAAGCAAATATTTATTTGATGCTTAAAAAAAAAAAAAAAAATTCTTACGGTTAGATTTCTTGAAAATCGATTTCGAAGAAAGTAAACAAATCTATGATTTATATTAAATTGTAATAATTAAAATTGAATTTTTAGTACGCCCATATCATTTTAAAAATTAACATATTTTTTCTATTATGAAATTGAGTTATTTATATCCAAATATACATAAAAAGAAATCCTACAACATCAATTTACAAGAAATGATTAACAAATAAATGGTTGTCATATAAAATAATCTCTGTAGTTAAGAACCGTAGCCATTTTAAAAGATCAAAATCTTTTTGCACTTTCTAACGCATGCGTACCTAAACATAGCGCTCGTAAACGACCGTGAACTATTAATAATAATAATAATAAGTTTATATCTGGCGTGTTTATATTATTTTAGAATTTGCTGTTTTAGACACATGGCTTGTGATATCCCACTGTAAGTTTGAATTAGTAAATTTAAAAAAATTGTATTTTAACTTGCATTTCTTTTGGCATGCATATTTATTTAGTTTAGTTAAGACTAAGTTTATATCACACTTTTTTAACTATTATTTTACTATATTCAATATTCACTATTATTTTAGAATTAGCTATTTTAAACATGTGACAAGTGGTATGACATTGTAAGTTTAAATAAGTTGTAAAATTATTTTAATTTTTACAACTTATTTAAACGTTTTTTTTGCTCTGCATATTTAATCTTGTTTTGATTTACCATAGTTTTTAAAAGGTTAGAGACCTTATTTTTTGCTCCTGATAGGTATTGATGTATGTGAAATGTATAGAGTCTATACATTCAGTTATCAGATAATGTCAAGGTAATCTTATACTTTTTTTTTAATTTACATTTTAATAAAGATATAATTTACTTGTTCCATTTAACTTTATCTTTAGAAAACGATATCAGAGATAATTAAAATAACAAAATTTAGAATAGAAATTTATATATAATGAATTACCAAAAACATTTTCTATAGTGTTATCAGTAACATTTTATTTTGGTTTTATACTAGGTATGTTATTAAGTTTCCATATTTTCCTTATTTTATTTTATATTAATCTTTAAGGAGTTGACAGCATGGTGTACGATTTATATATATTTATATAGTTTTATATATATTTATTTATTTTATTTTTTATATATATTAATATTATATCCATTATTATTTATATATATTTATATATATATTATATATATATATATATATATATATATATATATATATATATATATATATATATATATATATATATATATATATATATATATATATATATATATATATATATATATATATATATATAGCCCTATCTCGGTTGTTCCAGTTTTTTCAAAAATATTAGAAAAAATAATGTTTAATCGAGTTTACTCTTATCTTATTGAAAATAAAATACTGCATGAAAACCAATTTGGCTTTAAAAAAAATAATTGCCGTTCTTCAACTTACGCGCAACATTGCAGATTCATTCAGAGACTCTCGTTTTACATTAGGGGTTTTTATTGACTTATCCAAAGCATTTGATACCGTGAATCACCAAATCCTATTAAAAAAACTTATGTCTTATGGTATTAAAGATAAAAATCTGCTTTGGTTCAAAAGTTACCTTACAAACCGTAAACAATTTGTCTTCAATAAAGATTCCACATCTCGTGCATTTAAGAATATATCATGTGGAGTTCCGCAAGGATTCATACTTGGTCCACTCTTTTTTTTAATATACATAAACGATCTTCATAAATCTTCAAACCTAACAACAATAAATTTTGCAGATGATACAAGTTTATTTTTGTCTTCTTTTTAAAAATATTAATATTCTATTTACTGATATGACAAATGAATTAAAAAAAGTTTCTGTTTGGTTTAAACAAAACAGATTGTCCCTCAATATTGAAAAAACGAAATGGACACTCTTTTATCCGCCTTCTAAAAAACAAAAACTTCCACATATCATGCCAGATCTTTTAATCGACAATATCACTTTAAAAAGGGAAAAGGTTACAAAGTTTCTTGGAATATATATTGACGAAAATTTGTCCTGGAGGTATCATATCGATTCTACTTCCACAAAAATTGCAAAATGCATCGGAATTCTTTATAAAGCAAGAAATATATTAAGTAAACATCAGTTAGCACAATTGTATCATTCATTTATTCATTGTCATATAAACTATGCAAATAATATATGGGAAAGCACCCATAAGACAAAGCTTAAATCTCTTTACCTTCGTCAGAAACACACAGTTCGCGTAATAAATTTTAAAAATCGGTTTTCTCACACAAAACAACTTTTTAAAGAAATGAATATTTTGAATGTGTACCAACTAAATGTTTTTAATATTTTGTGCTTTATGTTTAAATGTAGAGAAAATCTGTCACCAACTGTATTTTAAAATGTTTATAATTTGAAACCGAAAAACAAATATAATCTTCGCACTAATAACAATCTTACTGCCATCAAAAAAAAAAAACAGTTTTTTGTTTCTTATTAAGGATCCTATCTCTGGAACAAATTTTGATTTTTCTATTAAAATGACTTATGCTTCATTTAAACAGAAACTTAAAAAGATTATCCTTTTATTAGAAAATATTTTCATCTATTTTTAACTATTTTTGTATATTGTTTTGTTTTAGACTAATAATTACTAAGTTTTTTTTTATAAAAAGATATATTATTTCATTACGAACAGTTTATTTTTAATTAATATTATATTGAAAAAGTGTAAATGTATTATATTTTTATAGGGCTTCATGATAAGATCCTCATGATCTTCTAGAAGTCTTGCCGTTGTTGCTGCCAAATGTAAATGTAAATATATATTCTCTTATGGTTTTTGTAATTATACATATATACATATAATTGTAACTATATTTGAAAAAAATAAATAAATAAATAAATAAATTGCGGTTTTCTGTCAGCCTCTTTTTCTACCGAAAGAGGAGTTAGACAAGGCGACCCTCTCTCTCTTTTATTGTATGTCTTTGTCGCTGAAGCTCTCGCTATGGTGATCAGAGCAGACAGCAGAGTCGAGGGATTCCCACTACCAGGAACACTAAAACCCCTTAATCTACAGCAGTACGCAGACGGTTCGAACTTTTTTGCAATGGACGTAAAATCAGTCCGCTTTTTTTTCGAAAAAGTAAAACTATTTGAAAAAGCAAGTGGTTCAGTGATCAATGCCTCAAAAACCAAGGGTCTTGCTCTTGGGGGTTTTGATTCTAAAATATACCCAGAATTGGACAACATAGAGTGGACCAATAACACCGGTTTAAAATTTTTGGGTGTTACCTTTTATACCAGACTGAATAATACTACCAATTTCAACTGGCTAGTAACTCTAAACAAAATAGAGAAAAAACTCAAGTTTTAGGGACTACGTACTTTGTCACTTAGGGGAAAGACTATGTTGATAAATACGTTAGCAATGTCAAAAGTGTGGTTTCTGGCAAACCTGCTGCCCGTTCCCGAATGGGTCATAGAACGTTTACACAGAGCCATATTTGAAAATCTGTGGCAAAAGACCAATTTCAATCCGGTCAAAAGAGAGACACTACTTTTACCCGTCAAAAACGGGGGTCTCGGAATTTTATCACCGAAGGAGCAAAGCCTTGCACTTTGCCTCAAAACACTCTTTGAACTGAAAGAATGCGGAGAGGATAACACTCACGATTATTACTACTTTTCAAAGTACTGGTTAGCAAGTTCACTTATAAAGTTTACTAACCAAAACCAAAGCTGGAGTTTTTTGAAACAGAACAATTTTCCAAAACACTGGTACAACAAAATGTCTCAGTACTACAAAACAACAATTGAAATATAAGGCAAAAACGGGTCCTTTTTTAACATTCCCCTAAAATCAACAAAAAAAAATTATTTAGAAGTGGCAAAAAACAAAAAGACAGTCGTGCCAGCAGAACTTTTCTGGAAAGGTTCAACAAAAACAACAATGCCGTGGACCCAAATTTGGAAAAAAAACTTTATCTCCCACGCATGCGGACCGACACAAAACATCCTCTTTCGATTTTTACACAACAGTCTACCTTCTGCGGCCTTGCTAGCCAAAAGCACAAGGTAACAGATCGTTAAAAACAACAAATGCAAAACTTGTGGTAAAGTCGAGGACAATCTCCACATATTTGCCTACTGTCCTCCCTCTAATGAAATATGGGAGTATTTTAAACATGTTTATAACTCCTTGACATCCCAAAACAACTTTTCTCCGATAAATTCGATTTTTTCTGTTGAAACCGCGAATTTATCGGAAAAAAACCCTACCTCGCAGCTGCTGCTGACACTCACTCAAACCATCATGAGTGAGATATGGAACAGCAGATGCCACCACATGTTCAACAGTTCCAAAATCATCCCTATGGCAGTGATCAGGCTAATAATCAGGAACATCAGGAATATTATTATCTTAAAATATAATTATCATGTCCGTAGAAACACTACGGACAATTTTTGTCAACTTTTCTGTATTAAAAATGTATTTTGTCAAGTAGAGAACGGGAATCTGAAACTAAACATATGAGATAAATATTTACACCAGCTCATCGCAAAAACTATATGTTTAGTAAAGATTTCCCTTTCTCTGCAAATTATTATTTTCACAACAAAATATTATTAATTATGATTAAATAATCACTGCCAGCCTTTATTTTATTATTTATAATTTCCTTATTTAAATGTATTTTCTGTAGCGTTCGTAACGTGGTTTTTGTGTAAAAGTCCTGTTAATTTTTCTATTTTTAATATAAACTTCTTCCTTTAAACAAAAACTTCGTGAAACCTTTTTTAAACATCTAACTCTTCAACCTTATCTAATCTCTCGACTTTTCTCCGCACAACGGTACTTAAAAAAAAAAAAAAAATACAAAAAAATATAAAATCAAAAAACACAAAAAAAATACATAATCAAAAAATACAAAAAAATATAAAATTAAATAAAAATAAATAAATAAATAAATAAAAAAATATATATATATAAAGTCAAATGTTATTGTAAAAAATTAGGCATATATATTGGAATATATATGTAAAACTTATGTGGAAAAGCAGTTAATTTATATTATGCAAAAATAGTATATAAAATTTTTAAATAATTATTGTTTTTAAATAAATTTTATATAAAAAAAAAAAAAAATGAAACTTGAGGTATTATATATATATATATATATATATATATATATATATATATATATATATATATATATATATATATATATATATATATATATATATATATATATATATATATATATATATATATATATATATATATATATATATAAACCCAATTAGTTGTCAGGGTATGGACGAAACATCAAGTCACTAAAAATACTATTAGCGTTTTAATAATTTCAATCAAAATAACCTTCAAGACAATGTTGTTGTCTTCGACACAATGTTGTCCGATTTGTCACGCCACACCTAACATGATGAGCGATCTAAAAAAAGGTTTGTTACAAATAGGCAGGCATTGTGCTATGGCATTTGACGACTACATGCTTGTATTAGGTTTTTTGAGTTTATTCCTATTTCATATAGACTTGAAAAAAACTTGGAAAGTAGAAAAGGTTTTCAAAAAATCAATATTTTTTGAGAGAAAAAAAATATACATGATAGGATGTTTGAAAAATTTGGTTTGAGAGTTGATGAACCAAAAGTTGGTGGATCAGCTAGTGGAACTAGTAATACCGGAAATTTATGCACAAAAGCTTTTTCTGATCCTCTATTACTCAGCAAAATTTTAGAAATGGATGAAAAAATTATCAGGTTACATTACATTCTAATTGCAAATAATTGCAAAGACCCAAATGATCCGGAAAAAATTGATAAATCCTGCAATGATACATATAAGAAGTTATTAAAGATATATGATTGGTTCAAGTTCCCAGCTTCCATTCTAAAAGTATAAACTCGTGCCAGGGAAATCATTATTAATTTATCAGTTCCACTTGATTTAATGGGAAAGGAAGCAGTTGAATCTCGACACAGAATTTATAAATTTGATCGTGAACATCATGCAAGAAAAAAAAGTAGAGAAATAAATTTACTTGACATTTTCATTCGAGGTATACATACTTCCGATCCCCTAATTAGTTCAATCTCATTAACTAAAAGATTAAAAAGTAAGAAAATACTGTGCCGGAAAAAGTTAAAAGCTTGTTAGCAGTTAATAGCGATAATAAAGAAAAAGATTCATCTGAATTGGAATTAGATGAAATTAATAACTTAGGTGAATTATATTTAAATGTTGATAACGTTGACGAAAATCTAGAATTAGATATAGAGGTGGAAGAATAAAGTTCTAAACTGTATCATCTGTATAATGTATAACTTTATATTTATTTGTCTACTATATAAATTTATTAAGTATATAATAAAATATTTAAAAAATTGCAATGATTCAGTTCAAATTATTAGAGTTTGGACACAAGATTATCCCAAAAGTTTATTTATTTGTTTGTTTTTTTTTATTATTAGTTTTATTATTTTTGTCATTAATTGAAAATTAAAATAACAGACTTTAATTCTCATTATTTAATCTGTTAAAGTTCGAAAGATACAACTGTAGTAACTATAATAAAGTTTTCACCATCCCCAAAATAAGGGACTTGTAAACTTTATATGATCATAACTTTCAGAAAATAAAAGATTATCTAATGAAAGCAAAAACCTGTCAATAAATTTGAGTTTAGTATAAGATAGCATCAAAAATCTGTTTTTAGACTCATTGCCCTCATATTTGGGGTGAAGTGGGGCTAACTTTTTAAGGGGTATTTTTGATCCCGGGCTTGAATCACCGCAATTTTTTTTGCAAATCAATATATTTTGAATTAAGTATGAACATTTGGTGCATTGAAAAATTATCCATTATTTAAACAATGTCCAAAAGTATTAAATATAAAAAAATCCAACTGGTGTCCCAGTGCTTAAATGGATTCCCCTCCCCCCTGCTGCGCCTATTAGCTGGTTAAACATTAAAATTAAAAATATTTTATAAAGTGTCTATTTTACCCATTTAAGGCTTAATATCCACATAAATACAACGATTATATTTTTGGCCACCTATTTCAATGGAATGTTCCCACTGTGCAATGATGGCATACTACAAAGAGAATAGTAGTCAGTTTTGTTACAGCAACAAAAACAAACTGAATCTTTGGATTCATAATGATTTTTTTTTCTTGAAAAACGAGTATGTAATATTTATTTTGGATATATTTTAAAATAATAATAAATATTTATATTAATAAAAATAAATTTTTATAAAATAAAAATGTTATAAAATGTAGTTATATAATTGTTATAGTTATACAAATTTTAAAAATTAATATTTCTAAACAAATAATCAACTGCTTCAAGACCTTCATTAGTTAAACTATTGAGGTATTATTATTTATTAAGTTAAGTACCATATTTTGAAGACAATGGAACGTCCAGTGGGTTTCTGTTATATTTATTAATAAGAAAAAGCTAAAATAATAAAAATGATGTTATGACATTTTTTTAATATTCTAATTTTTTCAAATTAATGTTTTTAAACACTATTTGTGGATTTCAGCAAAAAATCAATTTTGGACTAAAAAGGAACGCTTTGGATTTTATTTTCAATACATTCCAGCTTGTACATATTTATATTAATAGAATCTGAAGAAATATCTAATGTCTTTTGAAATTCAACCTAAAACCCTTAGAATCAACCCTTCGGGCTTTTGTTTTTAAAAGTTTAGTTCTAAATGACTTTTAAACGTCTTTTAAACGTTCTTTACGTAAGAATGTTTAGAAGACGTTTAAAAGACATTTAGAACGTAAACAAAATGCCCGCTAGTAAGCAGGGATTTGTTGATAATTTAACTCTGAGTTACGCAAAAAATCTGATTTGATGCGTAAGTTAATATATGCGTAATTTATGCGTAAGCGCAAACTTAACATTACTCTTACGCTGCGAAATGTTTGTGAATACCAAATAGTTTTGGAAAAATAAATTTGCGTAGGTTTTCAGTAAGTTACGAAATGTTTTGTGAATTCGCCTAGCCGGAATTCAAAATTTTCAATCCGGTACACCCTTTTTTAAATTTTACTAAATTATTTAGTTTGCATAAAAATGTTTGAAGTTAAAACACTTTATTTTATGGTAAACGTTTATTAAGTTTTAAAATACTTTTATTATTATTAATGTTTTATTCAATTTTAGTTCTGTTAAGTTGTTTTTGTCTTTTTGTTGACGCGACCATTCTAATAGGGATTTAGTTAGCAACCAGTTCTAGTAGGGATATTTATCTTATATATGTTTTTTCTTCACTATTAAATAGTATAAATATAGTTTAAAGTTTTTAAATTTTAAGCATAACAAAATTTTGAAAAAAAAAATTAATTTAAAATAATTTTTATTTAAACTTCTTTCATAAATCCTTAAGTAAAAAAAGTAGATTCAAATAATAATAAATCCTTAAGTAAAAAAAGTGGATTCAAATAATAATAAATCCTTAAGTAAAAAAAGTGGATTCAAATAATAATAAATCCTTAAGTAAAAAAAGTGGATCCAAATAAAACAGACTGGAAACGTCAAAATACACGGAAAATAAAGGTAAATCAACATTTATCGTTATTTTTTATTATATAAAACATAAAATACAGCTAAGTACTAATTTTTAATTTATTTATGTAATATTTCAGTCTGATTAGCTCAGATCCTCATCAAAGGTAAAATAAAATACAATAAGAATCTAACTAAAAACGTATGTAAAAAAACAAGAAGACATTAGAAAGATGAGCTGAAGTAATTTTTTATATTTTGAAATTTCAATGTTTTTTTTTAAAAAGAGGTCTCCAGCTGTTTGACGCCATTTTAACACCGTTGTTCTTGTTCAAAAGCTGTGGGAAGTGTCTTATCTCGTAATTCGTTTGGGCATAATAAATCTTAAGTGACTCTCTTATTTTCCATTCATAATAGTTAGAATTAATTGCGATCGTTTTTCGTATGATCTTTGTTTAATTTTCTTTTTTGTTTCTCCAATATAAACGCCACCGCATAAACACGTAAGCTTATACATTTGGCTTGCTATTTGGGAATAACTTGGATTTGTTATTACACAAAATTGTTTTTGGTGTTGTAAATATAACTTTAAGTACCGTATCTTTTAAGATCCATGGGAGCTTTATTGTTATCTAACCATTTTCTGTTTTATTTGCAACTACACTTTAAACTTCAGTTTTTAATTTGATATTTTTAACATTTTGAAATTCTCTACTTATCTATTTACATCTAATTTCTCTGGTTTTTTATCTGCCATTTTTAAACTTTATTATTAAACTATCTTTACTAATATTATTAATTTTAGTACGAATGGGTTGGCATTCTCTATTTATCTATCTATTTATCTCTTTTCATTCAAAAATTCTCTATTTCTCAACTATTCTACTTCGTACTAAATCGTTGTTGTTGCCATCACTCTTTACTAAATTTTTTTGCTGCTGTTATTGTCTTTATTTATGAAATTCTTCTCTTATTATAATTGTTATTATTTCGTTACTATTATTATTATTATTATTGTTATAATTATTATTTTTGTTGTTGTTGTTGCTATTATTATTCTTATCACAATCATTGTTATTATTGTTATTATTGTTATTACTATTATTATTGTTATTATTGTTATTACTATTATTGTTATTATTGCTATTATTAGTATTATTAATAACAGTTATTATTATTACTTTCATCATTGACTATAACGTTACGTTGTATATTGAGGTATTTACTTTATATTAGTATTTGTACTATTGTAAATTTCCTTGAAATGTTATAACTTATTTCGAAATATATTTGATTTGATTTGATTGATTTGATTGACGAACAGAAATATATTTGATTGACCAACAGGATTGTTTTTGATTTTAAAATTTTTTGTTATAACCTCTAACTCTGATCTTTTATTTTTCGACAAAAATATTTATTTATAAATAGTATTTCATCTTGAAGGTATTTTGGGGAACAAATTTTAAGGACTCTTGATATAAAACCTTTAAAGACTCCAGAATTTGCGGATTTTCGATGGATTTTGAAACCTTAGTGAAAGTTATTTGTATTTATTATTGTGAAATCTATAAAGTTTAACTCCTGCCTTTCGTTTTCTATTTCCGATGTCTATTGAATTGGGGGGTCTTGTTGATTTAACAATTGCAAAAATTTGTCGTGTTTTTCTACTGAATCAAATCTCGCATGGCTGTCAGATACATACGTTTGAATGTCAGATACATACGTTTGAATGACGTGAAAATAAGTTTATTTCCGCAAGTCTCATATTTTTTATTTTTAAATGTTTCAAAAACGCCTCTGTAAAAACGACCATAAGTGATATCAAATAAGAGTAGAATTCAGTATTATGTTCTAATTACGTTTTTATATAAAAATTAGCATCGGCTTAGACAGAAAAAGCTTAACTGAAAACATTACCTTGGAATATCAACGAAAGTTATTAATACACGCTCGAAACAATGCAAAATATCGACTTTATAAAAGTAAGGAATTTATCAAAATCATTAATTTAGAATTAAAAAGTATTTGACGTCTTATGACTACGAAATTGGTGATAGTGTTACAGAGAAATCGAAAAATCATAATTTCAATATTAAAAAAACGCATTTAAAAGAAAAATATGAAAATCTTTATCAAAAACCCATAACTCTATTTTGAGTCTCTAATTCCAGCTCTACGGTTTTATATTTCAATCCAAGTGAAATCATTCGAACAGTTTTTGCACTTTTAACTCATTTTCATTCCAATTTTTGTTTTCACTTTCTTTTAGTTTGTCAACTCTTCTTATGCGGTCTTCTATTTTCTAAGTTTACTTTTTATGTGTGCATATTTTTTTTTAGATATTGATTTGATCTTTTTGTTTACATTTCATT